AAAAATGATTTTTTAAATAATCTTTTCTGTAAACTGTAATTGTAAAACAAAATTGTTTTTATTTCATCAAAAAGAAATTTTTTTTTTTTTATTTCATCAATAAATTTTTTTTTAATGTTTTGCTAATTTTTATTTAAGATAGTAGAAATGAAAATGATACTTTTTACGGTGAGCTTGAGGGGAGAGCGACGTCGATAAAATTTTGCGAGTTGTTTATAGCTATTTCTAGTATTATTTTGTTATTTTTTTTATTATGATTATTTTCAATATATAATTTTATTTTTTATTTTCATTCTTTCTTTACTATTTTTATTGCATTTAAATTATTTTTAATTATATTCTTCATCATTTGTTAATATATTATTTTAAATACATTCAAATGTTGTTGTATGTTTTTTTTTTTGCAATTTTTTACATTTATTTTATTTTCTCTTCTTTTTTTAAATTTACCTCATGATATCTTCTCTTTTGCAGTTTGATTTGTGTTTCTTTTTTTCTTTCTTTTTTTTTCTATACTCTATGTTCTTATGTTCGCTTTAATTAATTTGTATTAAATTTTTCTTTTTCTTATTTTTATGTGAAAATTTTTTATTTCAGTTTTTGTTTTCTTTTAAATTATTATTTATATTAATTTCACGCAGGACGGGGTTTTTGCTTACAATTTTCTGCTTTTCATCAGCTGTTTGTAGGCGTAAAATTTTTCGTTAAATTAATTTTTGTTGTTTTAATTCACTTGAATGCTTCTTCTGCTTACGCTTTGTTAATTGTAAGTGTAAATATCAATTGTTGTTGTTGCGGTCATATTTTTTGTTGTTCTCTTGTTGTTAGTGTTTTTAAATATTTTATGCTTATTTTTTTAAAGATTTTTTTTTTTATATATATTTATTTTTAATTTTTATATTTCAAATATATAAACGTAAGCATGTTTGTATGTGTCATGGCTTGTTGCTAAATATATATGTATATATATTTTTTTTATATATATATAAGTATATATATGTACTTGTATGTATATAATAAATAAACATAAAAATATTTAAGCTTTGACTAGATTTATTTTTTAATTTTGTTTTTGTTTTCGGTTTGCTTAGCATTTTTTCCACTTACATACCCTACGCAGAGTTGCTTTAAAAATTTTGCGGATTTTTTCTATTGAGAGAGTACTGTAGCGATAGTTTTGAAATGCAATTTTTTGCTGTTTTTTTGGTTGAGAGAGGCGTGTGCTTGTTGAAAGAGATTTGAGAAAAGATAAAAAAGTTAAATAAAATAAAATAAGTTGAAAAAATGGAATTAAAAAAATTAAAATAAAATAAAATAAAATAAAATAAAATAAAATAAAATAAAATAAAATAAAACAAAATTAAATAAAATAAAATAAAATAAAATTAAATTAAATAAAATAAAATAAAATAAAATTAAATAAAATAAAATTAAATTAAATAAAATAAAATAAAATAAAATTAAATTAAATAAAATAAAATAAAATAAAATAAAATAAAATAAAATAAAATAAAATAAAATAAATAAAATAAAATAAAATAAAATAAAATAAAATAAAATAAAATAAAATAAAATAAAATAAAATAAAATAAAATAAAATAAAATAAAATAAAATAAATTTAATTGAAATAAAATTAAAACGAAAGAAAATAAGGAAATTTATTTAATTCAAAAATAATAATATTAATAGTAATAAAACCAAATTAATAAAAAACTAAAATAATCTCTTCAATAAATATAAATAAATAAAATCTTACTAATATAGATTAGCAAACGACAAAAAAAAGTAAAAATGTTTAGCAAACACTTAAGTACATAGATACATTTTAAAACTATATTTACTTGATTAATTTGTAAATTAGTTAAATTGAAATACTCGATAATTCTAATTTTCCGCTATTTTACCACAACACATTACGTACATACATACATATGTGCATATATGCCCGCCAGCACATACTTGAGAAATTGATTTATGCAATTTTGTGTCTGATTAAATTTACACAAATCTTCAAAATTACAATTTTTCAAGTAATATTAATTACATTATATAATTAAATTGAATTTACAAACAAAAACTATTTTGTTTTAATATTCTTTTTAACATTTGTTGTTGTTTTTTTTGTTTATTTATTTTTTTTAATCAAAGGTATTGTTTAAATTGATATGAATAGCGTGCTTTACGCAAATAGGAAATGATTGACACTTTGTCTATTCGAGTGTCTAGCGCCGCTTTATTTTCTTTGCTTATCGCATTTGACGCTCATTTGTTGATGGTGCTTGGGGGCGTTGTCAATATCGTTCTTTATCAACATAACGGTAATTGGTAACAATTTCCTACCATTTATTTTAATATATACATACATATATGTTTTCTAGCGGCGATTTATTACAGCCTTGTAGCTGAGTAGTGTTTTTTGGGAGGCGTGGCTCCGTGCGTTGGAAAGCTTTGTATCTCTTTCTTTCATTACCGAAGCTTTCATGCCACTTTAAGTTAGTGATCTCCTTGAGCTCCAATTTTTGTTTTCAAATTATTCAGTTGAAACAAAAAAAAAAAATGAAATTGAGCTTTTCAGCGCGTAGACCATTTATATCAATGGTTTCACAGAGCTTTTGCGTGACTTTGAAATACGAAAGCCCTCTCTCTCTCTCACCAGCTTCTTAGGGCTTTTGCTTAAATTTCATAATATGTAAGTTCTTTCTCATTGGTTCCATAGAGCTTTATCTGAAATTAAAAAAAGAGCTTTCTCCTTTTGATATAACATAAGGAGCTTTTTTGAGATTTTTAGACTGAATATAAGTAATTTTGAAGTTTTCATAAATTTTATTCATTCATTTCAACTTTTAAAATATTTCAAAATCTCTCCAACAACAAACACCGGCGCGCGTGTGTGTGTGTGTAAAAGCTTTATGTTTGCTTCTTTCTTTTTGGTTTCTTTTCTTTCTTTGCTTATAAGAATAGCAGCAGCATTTCATATAATAATATATAGTTATGTAGGTGTGTATATTTGTAAGCTTACAACTCACTCTACTCTACTCGCTGATGATTTTTATGCTTTTATTTTCTTCTGCCTCTCACATTCTTGCTTTCTCTCTATTTCGTCTGCGTATTTCTCTCAATATATGCATATGTAAGTGTGTATATATGTATGTATATAGTATATAGAATTCTTAACCAGTTTTAGTTCTAAAGATTTGTATTTTTCTTCTTCTTTTTCTACGTTCTTATAGCGTCTTTTAAGGGATTAATGAAAAGCAGGCGATTTATTTTGTTTTTTCTTTCTAGTTTACAGTTTTAGGAGTAGAATGTGTAAACGTTTTCCTTTTATCTATTTATCTCTCTTTTTGTTCATAGGCTTGGTGAGCTCGTTTCAATTTTATTTTTGCACGTTTTTTCTTATTTTTCTCTTTTATTTTTTAATTTTTAGCTTTGATAAAAAGCTTATGCTGATTGTAGTCGTATGAGTGATTTCTCAATTATTTTCGATAGATTTTCTTTCTTTGTTTTGTGTGAAAATTTTCTTTAGAGAGTCTGATGAGAGGTTGCGATGAACTTAAGAGCTTTTTTCGGAAGCTTTTTGCTTTACGAAAACTTCGAAGCGGTGCTCTTTTGTATGTAGAGTTTACTAACGGTTTTTTGAAAGCTCTTAAAAAATTTTTACTGCTCTTCTTTTCAATTCACGAAAGCTCTAGACTCTCTTACGTTACAAACTGCTTATAAAGCTGAAAGAGTGCAAGTTTTTATGCACTTCCGTTAAAGGTTATTATTCACTTTTCCAAAATTTGTCCGAAACCGCTTTGGAAGCTTCGAAGTAGTTTACAAAATCTCTACCCTTGTGTGGTGCCACCATCCGCTTACAAAGTTTAAATGGGAAACGAATTTTATGAAATATGAGCTTTCCGCCCAAAAATTTTTTTAGGCGATTTTATTGTTAGTTTACCTTTCCAGCGATCTAAACATCACACTACCTCTCCCCGCAAGCATTACAGAGCTTCTCCGCATTTTCTTCGCAAGCTTAAAGCTCAAAGTTCTTCTTTTTTTTTTTTTTTAGAAAATATTCACACATTCTTTGAGAAAAGACTACTGCTCTAATGAAGATTTGGAATATACATATATGTAGTTGTTGTCTAGCGCAAAAATATGATCTTAAATAAAATATGCTCACACCATTTTTGTTGTCTTTTGAAAAATTGCGACTTTCACTTTTTTGTTTTGCTTAAAACTAATTTCCTCTTAATTTTTTATAATAATTAATGTTTATTTGTTATGACTTTTTACCGTTACACACAATTTTTAATTAATACTTTCTAAACAAGAACAACATATTTTTACTTAATTCTTTTGGTTTTTGCTTTTGTTTTTCAAATGGAGAGCTTGAAAGAATGGTGAATTTCCTATCTTTGAATAATTGGTTTGTTTTTGTTTTTGTTTGTGTTTTTTTTTTTTTTTTGGTTGAGTGAGTGTTAAATATTTATATGTTTGTGTAATGTCTATATATATGTGTATGTGTTTTTTGTGTGAGTATTTCGAGCTGAAAACATTTTGCTTTTGAGCTCTTTTTTATTTTCAAAATTTTTTTTTTGTTAATTTTTTCCCTTCTCCGCCATCTTTGCTGAAAGCTTTCACTGATTTCATTTGCGCTTTTTTTTTTGTTTGAGTTTAAGTTCAATGTCTTGCTGCACCTACTTCTCTGCCGTTTTCCCTCCTACTTTACTTTTACTATTTTCATTTTACAGTTATTTTCGCTCACATCTCTCTTGCACTCTTTGGAACTGCGCTCCGTTTTATGTTTTACTCTTTGTGTTTAAATTCCTTAAAATAATTTTTTTTTCATAATTGTTTTCTTCAGTTTTGGAAAATATGGTTTGTAAAATTCACGGGTTTTGTTTGTTGTTGTTTTCTATTTTCTTACGACTGTCTTCATATTTTTCCATTTTTTTTTCATTTCTATTACTATTATTATTGGTATTTTTAATTATTATTATTTAATATTTTTGTATGTATGTATAAGTGGGTATGATAAAGCAGGCGTTTTTATAGTGGGAAATCTTTTGTTTTTGTTTTTGTTTTTGTTTTTGTATTTTTGTATGGCTTAGGGGGAGGGCGGGGCTTACTCTTCCTCTAGTGGTTTTCTGAGTTTGTTGAGTGCGTTTACAATATTTGCAAATTTATTTAAATTTTATTAAATTTATTTTGTTTTAATTTTTATTTTCTGGATTTTGCTTCTTTTACTCCTTCACCTCGAAGTATTTGTATGTTGGATTTTCATAACCGTTAATTTGCATATTCGCCACGATTTTTTCTTCCGGTACAACGGGATTGTGTGTGGTGGCGTTCTGAAAAAAAAGACGATTAGAATTTAAAATTCAGGTTAAAAAATGAAATAAGAAATCACAACGCAGGAGCGAAATTTCAACTACAATGTTGCCAATTTTCATATAGAAAAATCTGCATTATAATGCATAGAAATTCATTTAAGACCTTCAAAAATATGCGAACTAACCAAACAAAGGGAATTTGTGGAAAAATCCTAGTGCGGCGTTGCCAATTTTCACCAAAAAGTTTATCTAAAGAACGTTAGTATGTATTCTCATTTGAAAAATGTAAATATATACACACCAAAGTCATAAAATTACATTTTTACCATACTGGGCTATGACTAAAACAACCTCAGCGGTTGCCAATTTTCACAGCAGAAGAACTCATTGTAATTTGTTTTTATATTGCTTTAAATTGAAAAGTTTGCTACAACAACATTTCCATCCAAATCTTTAGTAAATACATAATACAGAAATGAAAAGTGGTTTAAAAATACACTGTTGGCGATTTTCACTCCAAAAAAAGTCAAGTGTTTAAATTGCACTCTGTTAAAGTAAATCTTTAATGAAAAAGCAATAAATGCTCTACCGACTGTAAAGATCAGAATTGCTTGGAAAAGTTACATATACAATGTTGCCACTTTTCCTCAGAAGTGTTCCTAAGCTTATGAATTGGGTTACTACTATTAACCTTTACAAGTTTTGTTTGCAAATCTCCGGAAACTCCACAAAATTTGTTGAGGGCAAAATTTTATGGAATTTGCTAGGTTGCCAGTTTTCGGGAAAAACTTTTGCATTTTATAAATTCAACAAAAAATAACTTCTATTTTACTCTCAAATATATATATACATTTTTTGAAAATGCCTTGTTGTCTAATTTCAATATAGAAACGTTTCGAATTTGAGTTAGAATTTTATTGTTCATAGGAAAATAAATTTATTATATGGAAAAATATCTAAACTTAAATTGTGTAGACAAGAAATTATTTTAAAAGATTAAAGAGTTATTGTTGCTAGTTCTTCTATTTTGGGCATTCTATAAAGCAGAGAAAGGAACTTGTAAGCTTTGTAGTAGGGAAAATGCAATGTTGCCACTTTTTCCACTTTTATTTCGACATTTTAATTTAAGCCAAGAAATATTAAAGGGGAAAAAGAATTAAGAATAGCATTTCAACAGAAAGCTTTTCGAAGCAACTACGTTTCCCTTTTCACTTTGCAACAGTTTAAAAATTTAGCTAGAGATACTTCTTTTGTGATTATAAAAACGAAAACTCCCTAAAGGAACTAAAAGAGAAAGGAAGATAATAACAGAGCAGCGTTATCAATTTTCGCTTGAGAATTTCGTTTTCTGAATTTATAATCTTTGAAATTTCTGAGGCCACATTTTGAGCTTACCTGATCGACCTCAATGAAGCCCTGCGCATGTGGCGAACGAGATGTTCTCCACTTGGCTACAGCGACACCAACAAAGATGGCCGCTAACAAAGCGACGCCAGCGAAGGACAAAGTGAAGTAGACATTGCGTCCCTCCTTGTTCGCATGCGTGTGAGCGAATTCGCGGCGCAGCGAGAAGCTCTGTAAAAGAAAAATAGCAAGGAAATTAGAAAAAAGACAAGGATGGTAAATTTTGGTGTCTTACGGATTCGCGATGTGCCAAATCGTGCGACATAAAGTGTTGCACCTGTGGCTCGGCTTCCTGGTGAGCGACAGCTGCGGCGACATCCTCAACAGCGCGCTGTACGGCATCATCGTCAACTGTGGGCAGGACGGTTTGGGTTTTAGTGCTGGAGAAAGAAAAATAAGAGAAAACCAGAGCGATTATAACATGCGCCATCACCCAGTATAAAATTATTGTCCAAAACTCACCTAACAGTGACATCGGAGTACTCTTCACCGCCGGCGCTGTCTTTCTCGTTTTGCGCCAACTTAGTGGAGTCTGCAAGTGAACCCAACTCTTTGCTGCTCACCTTAGACTCACCCATTACAGCAGCGGAGGCGGCGGCTGAGGACGATGCTGCTGCAGAGGAGCCTGCACCACCGGCACCACTGTCTTGCTCGGCTTGCGACTTCAACAGCTCATCCACTTTCTTGGCTTCCATGCGTAATTTCTCCTCACGCAATTTCTCACGCTCAGCGGCTCGCTGCTCCTTACGTTGCTTCTCGGCCAAGCGTAGACGTTCCTTCTCAGCAACCTTGCGTTCGATTTCAACACGATATTTATCCAAAATGGCAGCCTCTGCATCTTCGCTCATTCCCAACGATGAGCCGGGTATGTCGTCCTTGCTACGTAATGCCAAAATGTAGTCGTTCATCAGTTGAGAGATTTTAGCGGACAACTCGGGGTAACGTTTCAACATGGTCATGGACTGGTTGACAGCGCGATCAATATCGATAAGTCGTTCCAGAGTGCGTGGACGCTCCGAAGCGGCCGCCTCCAAGCCACCTGGGCCGCCAGAGTTCAAGAGGTGGCGGTAGTGTGCTAGGGCGTGGGCACGATCCTTGTGTAAGGCGCGCAAGAGCTTCTGCAGACACTTCTCTACATGGTGAGCCTGATGAGGGAGAAACAGGGAGGGAGAGAAAATAGAGTGAGAGTATTATATGCTCTTCCATTTGGCGCTCCCGTACTTGGCTGGACTACTCACATTTGGTGGCTGCTCGGTGAGAGCTTGAGTGTAGCAAGTCATAGCCTCCCGCTTGCGCTGGTTGATGTGTGCCAATACGCGTTGCTGGTGCATGGCCGCGAGCTGATGCTTCTCGGCGTTGCCTTCCTCCTCGAGTGCCTGAACAGAAGTCTAAAATTACATTCCCATATAAAGACGTATAGCACATCAAGAGAGAAAGAATCAATCAGAGAGAAGAATGAACGAATTTTCAATTTTTTTTTGGTGGGTTTGATTGGTGGATTTTCAAATTTTGCGGTGGTGGGTGGTTTTGAGTTTTTGAATTACAAAAAGAACTGAAAATATTGCTGATGGCGAGTGGTGTTGGCTGTGAGGGTGATTACTGGAGGGGGCCTATAGGTAAAATTTGTTGGAAAATTGTGCTGAGAAGTTGTGCCAAAGTATCTAAAACTGCAAGAGCTTTACGCAGCTCTAAGCTCGAAAATAGTTCGAAACATTTCAGATTTTGGCTTTACAAGAAGGCATTTTAGAATTGAAAATTTAATTTTTCGGTGCGAGAAATGTCACTCGGGTTCTTAATGAGCTTCCGTGCTCTAAAAGCTTAGTAAAATTTGTCTTCTTTACTAAACACACGTAAAAAGTGTCTTCTTGCTGGTATTTGCGTACAGAGGAAGCTGTTACAGAGCGCAGATCTGGTGATTTTAATAAGTTTTTACGTGACTGCCAAGCTTTTGAAAAATTTTTCGCTTGGCTCGGAAAATAAAATGTTTGCATATTTATTTTTCCACTATAATATTAAAAAACAAATTTCTAGTGAAATGAATTTCATTGACGATCTTTTCCGATGGCAATTTAAACGTAGCTCAACAATTTATAGTTTTAGAAAATCTTTGTTTTCAATGAAAGCTTTATAGAACTACCTCACGAGCTTTTCTCCTGACGGCTGCAAAACTTGTACAGTACAGATATCAAGCTTTGAAAGAAAAAAGGAGAAAAAATTTAAATTTCAGGAGCTTTTATGCGCCTCAGGAACTTTCCAAAGAGTTTACGCCTTCAGCCATATATATTTATATATATATATATATGTATATTTCTCTAGAGGTCTTACAAGTGATATGAATTCTTCAAGCTTTGTTGGTTTTAGAAAGCTTTCATAAAAGTGATATGGATTCAGCAAGCTTTGTTGGTTTTAGAAAGCTTTCATAAAAGTGATATGGATTCAGCAAGCTTTGTTAGTTTTAAAAAGCTTTCATAAAAGCTTAAAACGAAAACTAATAAACTACAGCATTTCCGACTCCTTTAACAGCTAAACTTCACTTACGTTAAAAATAGTAGCTTTCGCGCTTTCTACTCGCTGCACGGTCTTAATACCAATTAGCGCCAATTACACGTTACTAAAAACATTTCTATTTAATATTTAATTAATAACTTTTAGGCAGCTTTCAGCCCATTGAGTCTCTAATGTCATGCTCAGCTAATTAATTCAGTAACTCAAGCCAGGCTACAGAGGTTCGGGGTTATTATAAGCAAAATTGTGTGTTTTTTTGTGGAGAAGGGTATGATAGATTTTTTTTTAAATTTTATTAATTTAATCTTATTCTTTTAAATAATTATAAAGCTACAAAAGCTTCCAATCTGATGTCTCTTTCGCTCCCATTTGGCTTATAAGAAATAGGCAAAACTCAAGTGCAGAATAATGTGCGAAAATGAAATGTGATTGCAAGCAAAATAAATTAGAAAATTATATGCAGTTATGTGAAAAAGCTTCAACAAAGAACTGAAAGCTTCAACTAAAAATATAGCTAATTTATGATATGGGAAGTGGCTAAATTCAATCATTGTTCTGAAGAGCTTTTTAGATATTAAGTACACAAATTGAATTTCTAAAAAGCCCAAAACTCGATTAAAAAGCTTTCATATAGATATTTTAAATATAATTATTTTAATTTAATTTTTTTGTGTATAAAGGAAACTTTATTAAAGAGCCTCGTCGGTGTTTTAAGTTTTGGTTTTTAAAATTTGCCAGATGTAAAAGTGTCTTAACAATGAAGTTTCTGAAAAAACACTTCTATTATTCATTTTTTTCCCAACAAACTTACATCGAAAGCTTCCAAGTAGGGAAAATAAAGAAAATTTCATTTCTCGTAATTTTTAATATACTTGGTAAGTTTTTACGAATCGTGCCTCTCATAAGCTTTTACATGAAAGGGAGCTTTCTGACCAAAAACATTAGAAATATGTCTAAAACAGTTTTTATAAAAGTAATTGGCTTCACTTGGTTGTATAACTTTAATAAAATTATAAAAGCAAGCTTTGAAAGCTTTCGCTTTCGTGTTTGAAAGCCTATTAAAAGCTTAACATTTTAGAAAGCTTTCAAAACAAGCTTTGCAATAAAACTACTGCTCAAAAAGCTCTCGCTGAAAGAATGAGTGTAATGTAATATGTAAGTCATGCAAAATGATCAACTGAAAAGAGCGAATAAAGTCTGCGTTGTAAAGAAATGTGCGGGAAGAGAAAGAGTGCGAGTACTTTGTCATGCACCTCACATGCAATGTTGCGAACACTCGAGCTACATTGAACTAGTTGTTTGTGTACCCATGCTAGCACACATAAACGTACAAAACAAAAAGTCCAGAACATTCCCACTCACCTGGAAGCGTGCGGTCATCCGTTGCTTGAATGTCTGTGCCTGCTTGGGATCGGCCATGCGCATATCCTGATACTTCTCCTCCAAATCGGACCAGTCCTTCATGACACGTGTGACCTTCTCGCGATGCGATTCCTCGAGGCGCTGTTGGGCTTCCTTGTTTTAGAATATGTTCGGTTTTGTGTTGATAAAATGAACATTGAATGGAGTACACTTACTTTTTGACTTACTTTGTAGCTCTGATGCTCGTAGTGCGGATCGAAGTGGGTGAAGTATGGATCGACGGTGGGTTGGCTGGTCGATGGCACCGCGGGGAATTGCTGTTGTTCCTGCTGATGTTGTTGTGCCGTGGAAGAGATTGCTGGTGCATCGGCCATCATGCCAGCAGCACCCTTAACCACTGATTCTACACCCTGTTTGCCCTTGGCACCACCGCCCATCTCATCTGTGTTGGACTTCACCGCTGTGGGTTTCGCGCCGCTTGAGCTACCATTCTGCAAATCCCAACTGTCCGACTGCTCCTCAGCAGCGCCGCCACCATCCTCTTCGTAGTTGTCCAAATCCTCGCTGGAGTCGTATTCGCCATTTAAATAATCAGCGTTGGAGCTATTCGCCTCGCCGGCAGCTGCTTCATCGGCGACCATTTCGTCCTCCTCATCATCGCCCAAGAGGTCGTCGTCATCGTCGAGGTCGTCATCAGTGCCCACATCCTTGGAGTAGTTCGAGTCGTTGTCATCATCGTTGGTCACATCCACATTACTGTTGGTTATCTCGGCTGGAGCGATAACGGGCAAGTCGGTCTTCTTTACGCGAATCTCATCGGCTGTGAAGTTAAAGAGAGAGAGAGAAAGAAAGTTGAAATTAATATTGAACAACAATAACTGTGTGAGGATATAAAGAGATATGGGACAAAAGAAAAATTAAACAAATTAAAATAAAACCAAATGAAATAAAATAAAATAAATTAAAACTAAGTAAATTAAAAGGAAAGAAAATAAAATAAAATAAAATAAAATAAATAAAAATAAAATAATATAAAATAAAATAAAATAAAATAAAATAAAATAAAATAAAATAAAATAAAATANGAAATGAAATGAAATGAAATGAAATGAAATGAAATGAAATGAAATGAAATGAAATGAAATGAAATGAAATGAAATGAAATGAAATGAAATGAAATGAAATGAAATGAAATGAAATGAAATGAAATGAAATGAAATGAAATGAAATGAAATGAAATGAAATGAAATGAAATGAAATGAAATGAAATGAAATGAAATGAAATGAAATGAAATGAAATGAAATGAAATGAAATGAAATGAAATGAAATGAAATGAAATGAAATGAAATGAAATGAAATGAAATGAAATGAAATGAAATGAAATGAAATGAAATGAAATGAAATGAAATGAAATGAAATGAAATGAAATGAAATGAAATGAAATGAAATGAAATGAAATGAAATGAAATGAAATGAAATGAAATGAAATGAAATGAAATGAAATGAAATGAAATGAAATGAAATGAAATGAAATGAAATGAAATGAAATGAAATGAAATGAAATGAAATGAAATGAAATGAAATGAAATGAAATGAAATGAAATGAAATGAAATGAAATGAAATGAAATGAAATGAAATGAAATGAAATGAAATGAAATGAAATGAAATGAAATGAAATGAAATGAAATGAAATGAAATGAAATGAAATGAAATGAAATGAAATGAAATGAAATGAAATGAAATGAAATGAAATGAAATGAAATGAAATGAAATGAAATGAAATGAAATGAAATGAAATGAAATGAAATGAAATGAAATGAAATGAAATGAAATGAAATGAAATGAAATGAAATGAAATGAAATGAAATGAAATGAAATGAAATGAAATGAAATGAAATGAAATGAAATGAAATGAAATGAAATGAAATGAAATGAAATGAAATGAAATGAAATGAAATGAAATGAAATGAAATGAAATGAAATGAAATGAAATGAAATGAAATGAAATGAAATGAAATGAAATGAAATGAAATGAAATGAAATGAAATGAAATGAAATGAAATGAAATGAAATGAAATGAAATGAAATGAAATGAAATGAAATGAAATGAAATGAAATGAAATGAAATGAAATGAAATGAAATGAAATGAAATGAAATGAAATAAAATGAAATGAAATGAAATAAAATAAAATAAAATTTAATAAAATTAAAATAATTTAAATTAACTAAAATTTAATTTAATAAGAAAAATCATGAAAAATTAATTAGAAACTCTTCGAATATTTTTCGTGCAGCACAATCAATAGCAATATTGTCAGCAACATACTTTGCCAAGCTTGTAGCTACCGATCGGCATTAAAATTCAATTATGCAGCAGCACAGAATGTTTTACAAGCGCGCGTGGTGCCAAGGAACTCGAAATTTGAGGAAAAAGGGCAATACACAGTGGGAGAGAGAGGGGCAGGCTGCTGGACAAATTTGCGAACTGAAAAGTGAAAATGAAAATGCCAGTGAGGTGTACCGAGATATTGTACAATAATGGCGTATGTACTAGTGGGTAGTTGTTGTTTCTTTTTTCTTTACTTTGTACATTGTTGTAGGGCTTGTAAGCTTTTTTGTTGTTGCTGCTTCTCCAACATTTTTGCATTGATTGATTTTCATTGTTTTCATTTACTTTTCTATTTATCTATGCGAGGGCTACTAGTAAAATGGCGACCTATATAACGGTACCAGCTAATGCTTTTATCAAACGCCCTCACGACAAGCACACATTCCACACACATACACACACACGCACACACATGCATATACACATGCACTCATTTTCATTTTCAATTACTGTTTTTTTTTTTCTTGTCCTTCTCAACCTTCCTTCCTCCCTCCCTCACAGGCGGTATACTCACTTTTGAAATGTTTCGGACAGCAAACGAATTCCACGCCCGAGAACAATGAAATTCCACAAGGCAACAACATGGCGAAGCTACGCATCTGCATGCCGCGCTCTTGACAAGCAGCGGCGCCGGTTTGATTCCACCTTACGAAGGGCCAGCAGCGAGAGGCATTGTGAATGTGATCGAAGAGACATCCTTCTGGAACGAGTAGAGCATCCGATTGGAATGGTCCTTCTGAAAGTAAATGTGGGAGAATGTAGCAAAAAATGAGAATGGAGGAGAAGGTGAGAGAAAGCGAAGAAGGATAGAGAAATAGGAGGAAGAGGAAAAAATTAGTAAGAGCGAAAGAAAAGGAAAAGTAATACGGATGAGGGAGGAAAATTAAAAAAAAATTAAGTTAATTGTTATGAGAAAAATTATTTGGGAGGATAAATGTTAGAAAAACGGAAGCAACCAGAACAAGATTGCAAAAGTATAATGAAGAGGACGATATAATATAAAAGGAAAAAGTGAAAGAAACGAAGATAATGGAATAGAAGGGAAAGATGATTGGAAAAGTTGAATGGAAATTAATAAGTGAGAAAGAGGAAAAAATAAGCAAAAAAAAAGAAGAAAGATAAAGATTAATAAAGAGAAAAAATAATGAAGAAAGTAAAAAAGTACGAGAGAGGAAGCCACATGGGCGAGAGAAAATAGTTAGTTAAAGAAGAAAGATATAAACAATATTATGCAATGGCTTCTGACTATACAGGCTTTTACTTCGATTGATCTTTTTAGTACATTTTCATTAGTTTCATGTTTCACGTTTTATGTTTTTTTTTTCCTGTTTGTGTTTCATGTTTCATGTATGATGTTTCATGTTTCATGTTTCATGCTTCAATTTTCATGTTTCATGTTTCATGGTTCATGTTTCATGTTTCATGTTTCATGTGTCATGTTTCATGTTCCATGTTCCATGTTCCATGTTTCATGTATCATGTTTCATGGTTCATGTTTCATGTTTCATGGTTCATGTTTCATGTTTCATGTTTCGTGTTTAATGTTTCGTGTTTCATGTTTCATGTTTCATGTTTAAATTTTCATGTTTCATGTTTCATGTTCCATGTTTCATGGTTCATGTTTCATGTTTCATGTTTCATGTTTCATGTTTCATGTTTCATGTTTCATTTTTGAAGGTTCATTCATTTTTTCAAATTCCTACATTTCTCTTTTCCTCGTTTCCACTTACCCAAGCAACGGAATGGTTTGATCCAACGATGTGCCCCTTTACATTTAGCCGAATTGAGAGCACCTTGACGACACCAGCCACCAATTTTCTGATAATGCGAAGATTCAACAATATTGGTAATGTCACGATTCGGATAGGCCTGAAAGAAAAAATGTGGAATGTGATTAGAAAGAGCAAAATTTATTGAAAATATCAAATATAATGGGCGTGAGGACATTTTTTCTGAGAAGGAGCAAAATATGAGAAAAAAGCTCGGAGCTTTATGTGTTGTAAGCGAACTTTTCCCTACATGATGATCGCCTGTCCGCTCTAAATCTTTCAAACCAGTCTCTAAAGATAAAAATGAATGAACGTCGAAGCTTTTCGTTGGAGCTTTTATAATTTTTTTGCTACGTAGATGTCGCTAAGTATACTTTTGGTTTTTTTTTTTAAATATATATTTCCGATGTGTCCTGGATTGCGTTAATACGAATATTGAAGCCAAGTAACGGAGATATCGAATTCAATTGCGGGCATCAAGTTGCGAAATGAGAAAAGTAGCTTTGCTAGCTTTTTCCTGAACGAAACTCTTACCCATCAGTGCTGATTAAACATTTGCGAGAGTTTCAATGTATGTCGTATTTAATTTAATTGTCAAATTGCTGCAAACAGTAAACAAAAGCAGCAAATAATAGTGAGGTTAAGTAGCTCTGAAGCGTTATTGGCACACATACATTTGTGTGTGTGAGTGTGTATCTCAGCCGATGTGATATGCAATTTTCAGTGGGCGAAATGCGACTCTGTGTGCCAATCGATGTGTTTTCTCTCTGTGTGGGAATGTATGCCATGAACATACAAAGCCTTGACTTGACATCAATAAGCTGAAGGGTGTTCTTAAACATGAATTTAACAACAAAAAACAACCACAACAAACAACAGTCAGTAACAACAAAAACAAAAACCGTAATAAAGATAATAAAGAAAAATATTCACAACAACAACAAAATAATTGAAAACAAAAATTGCTGTGTTTCAAACTCTTCTGTAAGAAAATTACGAAATTTTCTGATTTCAAAAAATTTCATTGTCCAGTTCTCAATTCAACAAAATGCATTGCTATTACCAACGTTCATACTCTTAGCTTTCCATACATTACAGTTTTGACTCGAAAACATATTTTCGAACAGTCAGTTGTACGGCAACGGTATGTTATAGGCATACGATTTTAAAAATTTTTCTCTGTTTAATAAATGACAAGTATTCAGTTTGGCGAAGTTCAAACTTTTAGCTCTTCAAATGTAAGAATTTTAAGCCCAAAACGCATTTTTGAACTCTCAGTTGAATGACAGCTATACGCTAAAGCCGTCTGTTTTTGCTGATTTTTCATATAAATATTTTTCCAATAAAATATTTTCTAAATACCGAGTTTCATGCGTCAAACTTCTCAAATGTGTGAGTTTTGGTATAAAATATGATTTTTGAGGACTCAGTTGTATGGAAGGTATACATATATGTATGTTACGTTAGCCTTACGGGTGAGCAATGCGTATTGCATATAAAAGCAGTGAGTTATAACAGCTTTCCGCTTTCCCCCCACATGCTTTATCCTCACTAAGAACGGGTGTTGGTGCTTCTCACGCACAGTCACTTCGATTACGAAATCAATTTTGTCCGCCTTAACTCGTCGCATTTCATTTTAGCACAACGACAACGACAACAACAGCAACAAAAACAACTGACAATAACGATGACAGTAAACGGACACATGAGAGTATGTCAAGGCAATTGCTCGGTTGTTTGAGTGGATGGATGGATGGATGTATGGATGAAGAAACGGAGCAGGGAAGGGATTAAGAGGTGAACAGAGAGGCACGAGAACGTAATAACAGCAGGTAGAACTGATTTTTGAGCGATTTCTCATACGCATTGCTGTTCTATTCGTTGTTATTGTTGTTGTCAGCAAACTTAGCCTCTCCTCGTACACAGGTGGCAGCCAATGAGCCTATCTGCTGCTTGTTAGCTACGTTTCCAATTAGCCAAACGCATATAAATCAATAAGTATAACTGTACGTGTGTGTCGGTGTTTGAGTGGAATGTAATATAACGCCCAAAACTATGCAACATTTGACAAAGCAGCTGCTGGTTGTGGGCGGTAGGCAAAACAACTGTGAGCGGATATTGCAATGGACCGACAGCTGGTGCATGATAAACGGCCGCAAAGGTGTAGAGTTGAATACGCACATACACTTATGCACATGTACACTGATATGCTCACTGATACACTCACGCACACATATCCATATTGCATTTAAAAATAATACCGAAATCGACTGCTGGCGCTAATCATTAATATGTACATATACTACATATATACATTTGTATATGTATGTTTGTAGTATGGTAGCGCATTTGTCTCAGTATGTTTGGTGGGTGGTCTGTATATGAAAAGTAATAAAATTAATTTAGTCATTTAAATTTGCGAAACATATACAATACAATGTACGCAGGATGCAGTGAATGAGAGATTGCAATAAATATATGCGAGTACATCCTAAATAAGTATATATATATGTGTATACATTTGCCTAAATTCATATGAAGTTACACATGCACTGAGCGTCGCCGATTTCAGTGACACTACTGCAATTGCTGTTATTTATGGCGATATAGGGGTCTCTTGTTGTTTACCATAAATACATATATATTATATATATATAAATATATGCATCCTATATTCATAATTGAGTGTTCTGGCTTTTCTGATCGGTTTTCATGTTACGAAAAGAAATTTAATTCAACAAAAGTTCAGTTAGTTAGTTTAGTCAGTTTTATAGTCTTATTTATTTATATTTATTTTATGTATTTTCATGTAAATTTTTTTAAATTAAATAAAATATAATTTTAGATGTTTTCATTATTAAGTTAGGCTTAGCTGATCTGGTTTGATTAGTGCAAATAAAATCAATCAAACCAGATCAGCTAATCCTAAATTAATAATAAAAACATCTAAAATATTTGAACTGATCGCTTAACAAAAATTAATAAATATAATTTTATTTTATTTTACTTTATGTACTTAATATAATTTAATTTCATTTCGTTTCCTTTAATTTAATTTAATTTCATTTTATTTATTTTCTTGAGTTTAATTTAATTTAATTTTATTATATAATTTTTATTTAACTTAATTTAATTAATTTTTTTGTATTTTTTTATACTATTTTGCATTATTTTATTTCATTTTCATTATATTATTTTATGTTTTATATTATTCTATTTTATTTGGTTTAGTTTTATTTTAATTATTTCGTTTTATTATATTATATCATATTTTGTCTTAGTTTAATTTATTTTATAATATTATATATTATATTTAATTTTGTTATATTTTAATAATTTTATTTTGTTATATTACATTATTTTATATTATATTATACAATATTATTTCTAATTTTATTTTTTTATGTGTTTTTATATTATAATTTGTTATATTATTTTATATTATATTGTATTATAATTTTCCATATTTTATTTTATTTTTATAATTTAATTCAATTTATTTTATTATATTATATATGTTGTATTATATTATATTATATTATTTTACATTTTTTTATTTTATTTTCTTTTATATTTTTTGTTACTTTATTTTATATTAATATATTTTATAATATGTTACTTTAATATATTTTATTATATTTTTTGTATATTTTATTATATTATTTTATATATAATATAATTTATTTTTTTAATTTTTTATATTATTTTATTTAATTATATTTAGTTTTACTTTAATTATTTAACTTAATTTAATTAATTTTTTTGTATTTTTTTATACTATTTTGCATTTTTTTATTTTATTTTCATTATATTATTTTATGTTTTATATTCTATTTTATTTGGTTTAGTTTTATTTTAATTATTTTATTATATTATATTAGATCATATTTTGTCTTATTTTAATGTATTTTATTTTATTATATATTATATTTAATTTTATTATATTTTAATTATTTTATTTTGTTATATTATATTATTTTATATTATATTATACAATTGTATTTCTCATTTAATTTTTTTTTATAATATGTTACTGTATTATATTTTGTTATATTATTTTATATTATATTGTAATATAATTTTTATATTTTATTTTATTTTTATAATTTAATTCAATATATTTTATTATATTATATATGTTGTTTTATATTATATTATATTATTTTACATTTTTTTATTTTATTTTCTTTTATATTTTTCGTTACTTTATTTTATATTAATATATTTTATAATAAGTTACTTTAAAATATTTTATTATATTTTTTGTATATTTTATTATATTATTTTATATATAATATAATTTATTTTTTTAATTTTTTATATTATTTTATTTTTTATATATTATTTTATTTAATTGAAATTAACTTTATTTTGTTTTCCTATAATTATTTAACTTAATTTAATTTAAAATATTTAATTTATTTTGGTTTTATTTTAGATTATTTTATTTTATTATTTATGTTATATTATATTTATTATATTATTTTACATTATATTATATATTATATTTTATTTTATTTTATTTTATTTTATATTTTTTTGGTATTTAATCTTATTTTAATCTATTTTATTTTCTTAAGATTTAATTTCTTCATCTTATTCTGTCTATTCCTGCATCTGTGAACAGGTCTGTGTATAAAGAAATATATATATATATATGTTTTGCTCTGTATTATCATATTTCTTTCTGTGTGCCATTCTGCCCAACGTTATAATGCGACAGTAATAAATCAATAAATTCTCTATTGCCATGCATAAATATCGATATGTATATTTGTCGCTTTGCAACATTATCGTTAAAATGAATAAAATATGACGCATAAGCTGCAATTTATTGCTCGAATGTGGAATTTTTAAAATTTCTGCTGCAGATTTTTCCAACTTTATTATCATCATTTGGCGTCCAAATCAATATTTTAGGTATATTCTTTGTTAGTCAGTTGGGAATTTTGGTCGTAGCGATGCTTGAGCCTAGAATTATGCTACGTTTTTGTAGCCAAGAAATTTAGCTTGTGGTTTTTTTCGCAAAATATTAAATTAAATTAATAATTTTTGATTGTATACACATATTTTTAAGAGATTTTTAGCGAAGGAGAAAAT